CCACACACATACAGCGCCCACACACATACAGCACCCACAGACATACACAGCGCCCACAGACTTACACAGCGCCCACAGACTTACACAGCGCCCACAGACTTACACAGCGCCCACAGACATAAACAGCGCCCACAGACATACAGCACCCACAGACATACACAGCACCCACACACATTCAGCACCCACAGACATACAGCACCCACAGACATACACAGCACCCACAGACATACACAGAACCCACAGACATACACAGAACCCACAGACATCCAGCACCCACAGACATACACAGCACCCACAGACATACACAGCACCCACACACATACAGCGCCCACAGACATGCACTTAACACATACAGCACCCACACACATACAGCACCCACACACACACATACAGCACCCACAGACATGCACAGCACCCACAGACATACACAGCACCCACATACATTCAGCACCCACAGACATACAGCACCCACACACAGCACCCACACACATACAGCACCCACAGACATACACAGCACCAACACACAGCGCCACTGGAACATACAGCGCCACAGACATACAGCGCCCGCAGACATGCATTTCCCACACCATACAGCACCCACACATACAGCACCCACACACATTTCCAGCACCCACAGACATACACAGCACCCACACACATTCCAGCGCCATTCCAGCGCCACACACATACACAGCACCCACACACATACAGCACCCACACACACACGCGCATACACAGCGCCACAGACGGCACCCACAGACATACACAATTACCCACCCATGGCACCCACACATACAGCGCCGCATTCAGCACCCACAGACGCCTGAAGCACCCGCACGTTTAAAGCGCCACACACATACACAGCGCCACACATGCAGCACCCACACACGATTTCAGCGCCCACAGACATGCAGCACCCACAGACATGCCCAGGCGCCCATACACAGCGCCACAACCAGACAGCACCCACAGACATACACAGCACCCATACACAGCACCCACAGACACACCCACAATGCCCCCCACCTCCACCCCCCACAATCACCCACCCACACACATACAACACACATTCAGCACCCACAGACATACAGCACCCACAGACATACACAGCACCCACACACATTCAGCACCCACAGACATTCAGCACCCACAGACATACACAGCACCCACAGACATACACAGCACCCACATACATTCAGCACCCACAGACATACAGCGCCCACACACATACAGCACCCAGACAGCACCCACACACATACAGCACCCACAGACATACACAGCACCCACACACAGCGCCACAGACATACAGCGCCACAGACATACAGCACCCACAGACATACAGCGCCCACAGACATACACACAGTGCCCACACCCATACAGCACCCACACATGCAGCACCCACAGACATACAGCACCCACACAGCACCCACACACGTTCAGCACCCACAGACATACAGCACCCACACAGCACCCACACAGCACACACACACATACAGCACCAACAGACATACAGCACTCACAGACATACACAGCACCCACAGACATACACAGAACCCACAGACATCCAGCACCCACAGACATACACAGCACCCACACACATACAGCACCCACAGACATACACAGCACCCACACACATACACAGCACCCACACACATTCAGCACCCACAGGACATACACAGCACCAACACACATACAGCACCCACACACACATACAGCACCCTCAAAAAC